CGACCTTGCAGTCCAGCGTATTAACCTGTATCACCACACCAGGACTCTGGCACACAGCTGGCCTTCAATAAATAGTTGTGGTGTGAAGAAATCATTGGCACCTTGGTTTGCTAGTGTTTTTGCAACAAATACTACAAGCATGCGGTTTTAAAGTACAGAAACTACTTTGTTTTTCACAGTTTGTTGTTGTTAACTGCTGTTGAGTCGGTTCCAACTCATAGCAATCTCCTATAGGGTGTCTGAGGAGTGGCTGGTGAGTTTGAAGCACCGACCTTGCGGCCCAGTGTTAATGCTGCAGCGCCACACCAGGACTCACAGTTTAGAAGGCTAGAAATCCAAACTCAGTGCACCAGCTCTAGGGAAATGGCTCTCTGTGTTGGCTTTGAGAAAAGATCCTATTCTTTTGCAGCTCACATACCCTCAGGGTTCCTGAGTTCCTTGTTAATCTGCAGCATGGTGTATGTCTCCCCACATGTTTGCTTTGTGTCTAATCTGCTCATAAAAGATTAGGTTTAGGAGAACCCTACTCTTTTATGGCCTTATTAATGTAACAAGGAAACCTTTTTTTAAAAATACAAATTGGTATTAAATCCACAGGTATGTTGTTAAGTGCCACTGAATCAGTTCCGACCCATAGTGACCCTGTATAGGGTTTCCAAGGAGCAATTGGTGAGCTTGAACCGCCGACTTTGCGGTTTAAACCGATCTTGCAGTCCAGCGCATTAACCCATGGTGCTGGGACTCCAAATCCACAGTTTGGGGTATCAGAATTGCAACACATTTTTTCAGAGGCCATAATTCAATCTATAACACCTGTTTGACAAATTAAAAATTCAGGCACGGAGACGTTAAGGAATTTCCCAGAGTCACCCAGCTAGTAAGAAGAGGAGTCAAGATTACAGTCAAGGCCATTGAATTCAGAATCCTGGTATTTAATAGTCTCTGAAGAAACTGATTAGGTAGCTTGTTCCAAAGTTTGTTCCTTGGGACATCAGCTGGGAAAGATGTTTCCTGGCCAGATTGTGGGCAAGCAAGTTGTTGTTAAGTGCTGTCAAGGCAGTTCCGACTCATAGCGACCCTGTATAAGGTTTCCGAGGAGCAGCTGGTGAGCTTAAACTGCCAACCTTGCAGTTCAAACGGCTTTACAGTCTGG